AGAGCATGGGATGTGGAAGAACTTCTTCAATTTTTTGGGAAGGATTTGGTTCAGCTAATAAACCAAATTCCTATTGATCAACAAGCCCAAGAAGATTACCGAGAGCTTATTTCCTAGAACTCAGGGAAATCTTTATCAGGTCTAGCATTTGATAATATGCAATATGGCCAAACTGAACCGAATTATGTCAAGTGGATCAAAAGAGGAAAACTATCCCCTCGTGTTGAAAATTTTTGGTGGAGATTACTTAAAGATTCCATTCCAACTTTTCATTTCCTTGCTAAAAGAAAGCTGCAGAATTCTGTTATCTGTCTGAGATGTGGTGAAGATGTTGAAGATGTAAAACATATTACTATCAAATGTATCAAAGAGATTTGTTCTCTTTATTAAACAAATGGGGATTCAATATTCCTTTATTTGATAGTTTGGAAAGCTGTTGTGCTTGGATGGAGATCATTGCTCATAAAAATGTGTTGCTTAGTAATCTATTTTGCAATGTCATTTTTCTTTCTTGGAAAGCAAGAAACAAACTTATTCATCATAGGCTGGAAGAAAGCTCTACCACTATTGCAGCAAATGCAATAAGCTACTCTTCTATCTCAAAATTGGTATGCAGTTCAAGCTCGAACAGGTGTGGTGCTCATCAGTCTTCTAGACTGTCTAACACTTGGCATCCTCCTCCACCCGATTGGATCAAAATAAATGTGGATGCATCTCTAAACTCTAATTATAGAGCTGGAATGGGAGGTGTCGTACGTGACTATAGAGGCAGATTTTTGATGGCTTATGGGAAATCCTGTATTCATTGGGATATCTACCAATTGGAATTGCTTGCTATCAAATCCCTGAAAGAGTCAATTAAAGACTGGATGTTCAAATTCAAAGGCGTTATTATTGAGAGTGATAACTCAAATGTTATCACCTTTCTCCAACAAGCAATGACTGACGGTTTCAAAGGTGAGGAAGAATTACATTTTCTCAATGATTTTAACTTTGTTATATTCAAATGTATAGATAGAAACAATAACAAGCTAGCTGACATGTGTGCTAGCTTTGCTCTTATTTCTAACTTTGCTTGGGAAGACATTAGCTTAAATGAGATTCCTCCTTCATTTGTTAATCTTTTGAAGGAGGAATCTACTTTGTAGTTTTGCTAGTTTTCTATTGATTAATGCATTATTTGCTTTCTTTCAAAAAAAAAAAAGAATAAGCCTTAAGATTCTGTTAGACCTGTCCATTGGACCGGTCTAACCGGTTCATACAGGACTAACTCATGCGTAACAGAGGCGAAACTCCTCCACCTCCTGTGCAAGCTGCACAAACCACCCATCCAAAAGAGTAAATTAGGAAGTTTTTAGGAGAAGTTTAGAAGGGAAATTTGAATGTATGGACTGTTTAGAGATTTCCTTTTAGATTGTATGCATTAAATAGTTTGTTTACCTAGGGTTAGGGCATCTTGAACTTGGCTAAAATTTTAGATCTCTTAGGTTTTTGTGTTCTAGCAACGTCTAGAGATTTGGGAGAGATAGATCCTCCACTCGAATAGAGAATCAATTGTATCATAGTATTTTTTCATTTCTATTTCATCAAATAATACAAATTATCTACTGCTTTCCGGGTTTTGTGTGGATTTTTGTGGAGAGTTCTCATTGTTTTCCAAAGATTGCTAGGAAATTCTTGAGATCTTCAAGTATTTCCAATCAAATTGGTATTAGATCAATTTCTTGGGCGGAAATAGAAGTCTTCATCGCTGAATTTTGCTAAGTTTCATATCTGATCTTGTTGCTTTTTGCTGATTGGAGGCCAGAATTCGCGTCAAACTTGTTGTTCTTTTGCTATTAGAGCCTAAATACAGGTTCTCATGGCAGGAAGAAAGGTAGAAGTGTTAGAAGGGGAGATCGGGCAATTGAAAACTGAAATTTCAGATCTCCACACTTAACTTTCAGATGTCAAAAGTCAAATATCAGCCATCCAAGATGGATGAAAATTTTTCCAGCCTGGGGGAGAAGTTGAAGAAGTTGCTCAAGGGTCAATCCAAAACGGCATGGTCAAAGGTGAGGGCAGCCTCCGACAACCCAGAAAGCGGGGAAAACTCTAATCCAATAATGCAAAGGGAAGATCAGGAGGTGGAGACTCGAAACAGAGAAAGAGAATACCTCCATGAGGAGGTAGGCAAGAACGAAGGGGTGCTGAATTTGAGAGGAAAGGGACGGATTTTGAAAGGGAAAGAGGAAATTAAATAAAATCGAAGGGGGGCTTAATTTAAAAGGAGGGGTTTATTATGATCCAAGGCATGATAAATTTGAAAGGAGGTAGGAATTTGATGAAAGGTTTTGGTATGAGCGTAGAAGGGATGACTGAGCTACTTGGAAAGAACCAACCCCTTGGGGAATGAAAAATTATGGAGGGAACTGAGGGAACAGAAGGAGATCCGAGAGTGAGGAAACTAAAGATGTCAATTTTTGAGGGGATGCGCACGGGTGGATGTACAAGGTTAAAAGATATTTCACCGTTAATGGGTTAACAGAGGAGGAGACAATGATGGCAGCTAGCCTATGCTTGGAAAGGAAGGCTTTGGCTTGATACCAATGGAGGGAAATGCGACAACCCATACGGAGTTAGAGGGAGTTCAAGGATTGTTTGGTAGAACGTTTCCGAATCAACAAGGGAGGAGACTTCTACGAGCCATTCTTCGCCCTGACACAGGATGGTTCAATGGTAGACTACCAGGAGAGGTTCGAGTACCTTGCTAGCCGATTGGACCGCCTTTCTGAGTAGTGTTAGAGGGGAATTTCATGAAGGGACTGATACTAGATATTTGGGCCGCGATTAGAGTAATGAGGCATCGTGACTTGGGAGATGCCATGGAGTTACCTCAATTGGTGGAGGATCAGAGGCACTTGAAGAGAGAAATAGGAGGCAGCAGCTCAGGAGGCTCATACAAGATGACCACCACCTTATTGATATCCAAGGAGCCAACACCAAATACTCCTCGGGAGACTTCAAAGGAAAATACTGCAGGAGGAAGACCTGGGGACAACATCAAGAAGCTCACATAAATGAAATTACAGGAGAAGAGGGTAACAAGTTCTATTTCAGATGTGAGAAGAGGTATACACCGAGGCATAGATGTAAGGACCGAACTTTTCAGGTTCTTACTATTTGTGATGAGAAGGGAAAAGAAGAGGGTGTCATATTTCCACCTTGTGAATAAGGTGGGTCTTTAGGAGGGGAGTATTATTAGACCAGTCTATTGGACCGATCCAGCCGGTCAAGACAGGACTGGCTCACGCGTAACAGAGGCGGAACTCCTCCGCCTCTTGTACAAGCCGCATAAACTGCCCGTCCAAAAGAGTAGATTAGGAAGGTTTTGGAAGAAGCTTAGAAGGGAAATTTGAATGTAGGGACTGTTTACATATTTCCTTCTAAATTGTATGTATTAAATAGTTTGTTTTTTTAGGGTTAGAGCATCTTGAATTTGGCTGAAATTTGAGATCTCATAGGTTTTTGGGCTCTAGCGGCATCTAGAGATTTGGGAGATAGATCCGCCTCTCGAATAGAGGATCAATTGTATCTTGGTATTTTTGCGTTTCTAATTCATCAAATAATACAAATTATCTACTGTTTTCCAGATTTTGTGGAGAATTCTCGCTATTTTCAAAAGATTGCTTGAAAATTCTTGAGAACTTCAAGATTTTCCTATCAGAATCCTTCTCCATCAATAAAAGCTTAGTGTTGTAATGTAGCTAATTAGCTAATTCTAAAGAGTGAAGATTCTCAAAACAATTGATCTTATGCCCAAAAATACCAAAATAAATAACGAGTAATTTTCTTTGTTCTCACGCAAAGAATGCAGTTAAATGGGTGAGTAATATGGGGGTCGCTTGGTGTGAATCAAAATGGGTTTAAAAGTACTATTTCAATTCTAAATAAGTCCTGTTTCTTCTAACATTGCTAGGTTTTGAATTCTATACGCCAACTTACAATTGCTTCTCACTCCCTTTCATCATCTGAGTCAATTCTCGACTAAATTATTATCCATATTTGCTGCTTGCACACTTCCACTAATACAATTACGGGCACTTCATCTATTTTAAAAACATATATCGATCCTAACATTCCCAATTCTTAAACATTTGATTTCCTATTTTTACATTTAGCTTGACATTGGTCAAATATCCTCAATATGCTCTTTCAAACACAACCAAAATACAATACAGTTCCAAGTTCCAATGCATAAAAAGAGCATACCTAATGCAGGTTTTGTGGAGGATTGATGCCTGTAGTTTTACCCCTACGTACATACGCAAAGATATTGTTCCATGAGTCAAGCTTGGGACCTCCAAATCACTCTGGAAGTATCTTAACCACTACATCATGGCCTTTCCAAGTTCCAATGCATAACGCAATAATATGGAGGTCATGCATTTAGACGAACTGAATTAAATTAAGTCAACATGTGACTGGTGTACAAATCTATAAAACATCAAACCTTTATAACACTACGCGGGGTCGGCAACATGAATCATTTTTCTCCATTGTGTGCAATTAAGAGTCAAATTCTCATTTAGATCTAATAAAGAAACGTCATTTCTAATATTTTCTAACCAAATCTTTATAGGTTTACCTCTTCCTTTCTTAACATAGGTTAAATCTAATACATCTACTCTCCTAACCGGGTCATTGGAAGGCCGCCGTTTTATGAGACCAAACCATCTAAGGCGACTCACTCTAATCTTATTTGCCACTGAAGCTACTTCAACATTTCCATGTATATGCTCATTTCGTATCATGTCTCTAAGAGTAAAACAACTCATCCACCTAAGCATCCTCATCTCTACAACACTTAAATTAATATTATGCTTCTCTTTTAATGGCCAACATTCTGCGCCATACAGCATTGCAGGTCTAACCACCATTTTATATAATTTTCCTTTAAATTTGAGTGGTGCTTTTCTATCACATAACAAGCCCGATACATTCCTCCACTTCATCCATCCAACATGTGACTGGTGTATAATAAATAAAATCTGGAATAGAGATGCTGCAATGAAATATTTTTGCTACTTCATAACAAAGAGATTACATGTATTGCAATTAAAAGACAGAATACTGAACGAATAAGCGACATACCCATATAAGCAAGCTTTAATTCGGCTCCTAAGCCTTTCATGTATGAAATATATGGATAATATAAAAGAAATGGCTACTTGAAGTGTAGGCCCTTCTTCTGTGGGAAATAGAACAGTCAATACTCCAAGTACGATAAATGCAATGCTTGTCTTTAGAATGATGCTTGTTGCTGGTGTCTGAAACCTGTTAGTTATAGCCTTGACATATCGTGACTGAGTAACTTCCCTTACTTTTTTCTTAATGTTAATCTTAGGATTTTTCCTATCATAAAAGCTCTGCATAATTATTTTATCATGAGCTGATTCAATTGCATCAACACTTGGTTTGTGTCCAGCATATTTGTTAATCAGAAAGTTCCTTGCTGCCTGAATCTCCTCTTCAGAAGCCTCTTTACTGATACCAAGCCGTTTATATGGATCTTTAATGCGAATCCTTGGGAAGACGCCTGATCAATGGTTGTTGAAGGTAAAAAATGATCAAAGCTCAGTCATTGAAAGGTCAAATGTTTTAAGAAAAGGAGCTGTAGGCATGGAATTAATAAACTATAAATGAATACTCATGTGATTCAACTGCCGATTTTGGTGAAGCAAATTATATGTCTTTTCAAAGCAAAATAAATGAAAAACAGATTTTTGAGGTTCTCATGCGTATGTCAATAAAGGTTCGAAAATTATGTACATCTAGCATATAATTATTGAAGAAACAAAAATGTTGTTGAGTTGGGGGATTTCAACCAGCAACCTTCTTGATAAGAGATTGTTGTACTTGGTAGATATTTGTTTGAGTGTATCTATTTGTTCAAATTACCGTGTAGTATACTTAAAAGCTTATAGCCATGAACCAGATAATGAAAATGACAACCTATTAGAGAGAAAAAACTTTACTATGTCTTTCCGTGAGAGTGAGTTCATGTCACGGTAGGCATATATTTAGTGTACTTCCGTCGATAAATGAATATCTCAGCATGCATCAAAAAGCATAGAAATCTCATCATGTTTCAACCAATTCTATTTGGATTGAATTTTAGAATTGATAGCCACAGCTATAGTAAAAAGAAGAATCCGTTGCCCTTAGAACTCATTTAAACTGGATAAATAGTTCACAACCCTATTTTTAAGTAACGACTTCCAGTATGTCAATTGTACATCCAGATGTCACACACATATGTTAGGACTAGTTGGTCAAATTAAAGGAACCAATCTACTGAAGCCGCCAAGTTAATACAGAACTCTAGGGTGAACTCACATAGTCATTGTGAATTCGTCAGATTCACTTTGAACCCACCAGAGTCATATTAAACTCACCAAAATCATAGTGAATTCACCCTTAAGTTGCCACAATTACAACAAATTCGACTTGAGAAGCCAATTAGATCTATTCATTTAAAGATACTCAAGCTAAGTCATCCCAACTCTATTTGAACTTGTTGAAGCCTCCTACCAAAGCAATTCGCCAATAAGAGTACTCGGCCAGATCTAATACAACAACATCATCATCATCATCAAGCCTTTATCCTACTACGTGGGTCGGCTACATGAATCATTCTTCTCTATTGTGTCCTGTTAAGATTCAAATTCTCATTTAAATCTAATAAAAAAATTTATTTATAATATTTTCTAAACAAATCTTTTTAGGTTTGTATCTACCTTTCTTAACATAAGCTAAATCTAATACATCTACTCTCATAACCAGGTCATCAAAAAGTTGATATTTTATGTGCCCGAACCATCTAAGTCTCTATCTAATCTTATCTACCCTAGAGCTACTCCAACCTTTTTCACGTAACTAATTTCACATTTTATTTCTAAAAGTGAAGCCACTCAGCCACCTAAGCATCCTCATCTCACCCAAATCTAATCACCAAGTACAAAACCTCAAGGCTATTCATCTAATGCTATCTATGAGGAGTAGTCGTACAAGAGTTCCACCGCAAGGCTAGTCAAAGCAAGAAACAATTTCTCTATTAAATTCATAATGTATTTTCTATGTTTTTAGCTACCTATTTTGTCTTACTCAAAGCAAGTAGTTAAATCTTATTTCATGTAGTTATTCTTCTAGCACTAAACCTTAAACCAAGCATATAGAAGGTCAAAAATGAGTATTACACTAGATCTTTGGTACTCGTAATATGTACTTTTAACAATCTAATGAACTCCCCATAGCTTCTCTCTAGATTCCCTAGATTCACTCTTTATCTAGCTAATGTTTCTCATCTATTGTTGTGCATTATTGTCACTAAGATTCAGAGGTCAATATGGCCAAATTTGGATCCAACATCTTAAAAGGTGTCGTGGGTGTGGATTGATACCACGGACCAAAAATCAAGCATTGCAAGCATTGGAGAAATAAAATAGAGAAAAATATTAGACATTAAAAATCAAATCTCTATTATAACAAATAACTAGTCCAAGGAATTCAGCAAACTCAAGAAACTCATTCTTGGAATTTGGCAAATACTCGAGAAACTCATTATTGGAATTCAGCAAGAACTCAGAGAACTCATCCCTCCATATTTAACTCATCCAAGAATTAAATTCATCTAAGGGAATATTCAACTCATCAAGATTTGAATTCATCCTAGAGAGAGTTAAACTCATCCAATATTTGAAATCAACTAAATAAGAGTTTAACTTATCCAAGAATTAAAATCATTCAAAAGAGATACAACTCATCCAAATTTTGAAGTCATCAAAGAGAGAGTTTAACTCATCTAAAAAAGAGTTCAATATATCCAAGAAATGAAGTCATCCAAAGAAGAGTTCAACTCATTTTAAAATTAGAGTCGTCCAAAAGGGAGTTCAACTCATGTAAAAATTTTAGTCATGAGAGTTTAACTCATCCATGATTTGAAGTCATCTAAGGGAGAGTTTAACTCAGTCAAGAATTGAAGTTTTTCAAAGGAGAGTTCAACTCATCCAAAATTGAAGTCTTTTAAGGTAGAGTTAAACTCATCCAACATTTGAAGTCATCTAGGAGAGAGATCAATTCATCCAAAAATTAAAGTCATCCAATAAAGAGTTCAACTCGACAAGGTGAAACTCAAGGAATTTTATGAACTCGTTATTCTCCTAAAAGACTTTTTCTTTTCATTAAAAATTAAAAAATAATAAAAGGAAAAGGATGTATTAGAAAAATTATCAAAAAGTTAGATCTAAAAATAAAAGAGAAATTAAAGAATCAATTTTCAAACTTCAAATTGAACAACTTCAAGTTAGAGAGTTGACATATTTTTGACTTAAATCAATATTAGAGATACTTATTTTCTAAATTAGTACTCAATTAATGAGGTAAAATATAGACAAACTTACATTTGGTATAAGAGTGATATCGGATTAAAGTTAAATTTAAAGGTTGCAAGATTAGGCTCTACATAAGAGCTAAGGCCCCATATATATCAACAGCATGTGCTTAACAAAATCACATTTTATGCTTGACTCTAAGTTTGAGTTTTACTATAAGAAGAAAGAGAACTAATGAACTTGAGAAAGTAGAAATTTCAATAATCTTTTGGATTAATTCTACTTATTTAACAAATATTTAATTTCTTATTTTGAACCAAAATTCATTTTTTTAGTATTCAAGACTAAGTCGGGTAAATTCAAATCATCCAACTTGGCCAAAATCAGGCATTTGCAAATAAGTCTTTTTGTATCCTTTAAGCACAAAGTCAATCCACAAAACTTGTACTCCACCCTTTCGAATAATATCCATTGAGTAGAGAACAATCCTTTCTAAATGGCAAGTCTAGATAATTACACTGAGAAAACAAAATCTCTAGCAAAAGCTAAGGTCCATCCAAGGTGACAGCTTGCCTAAGATGCATCAAAGAGAAAAGGCCAAATAAGACTTGAGAGAGTTATATAAAAACTATTTTTTGGCATTCATATCTTTAAGTATTAGTTAATCAATATAACAATTCAGCTGAATAGCTTTCAGAAATAATCATCACTATATATTATTAATGCAAAATGTTATAAGATAGATATACAAACAACATATCAAAAAGAAAGATTTATTCAATGCTTTTCATAGAAAACAAAGCCTTTTACAATGGGTTGGAAGGAATCATTGGTTTATTTGATGGATCATTCTGAAAAGTTAATAATTCTTTCTAAAGAATCATTATTAATTATTTATAAAAAATCACTAGTTTATTTATCGAAGTAATACAATGAGTTGGCTCAACTATCAACTTTATTTGAGATATCTCCAACTTGGCCGTTTGCTAACTCAATGAAGGATTTGTGGGTTCATTTTGAGAATTTGTGTAATTGACAAGAGTTATACGATCATCTAATGTCCGACTCGCTTCAACTAGAATATTGGTCATCATGATGAGAATCAAGTTGCAAAGTAGGATTCAGGAGGATGATAGAACATAGTGGTTTTTAAATGACAACCAAATGCCCATATTTATAGGCTTGCTATGATGCGGACACATACTACCGATTAAATCAACATCATTTTTTTATGTGATAGCTTCTCAGGATAATAAATTTCAATTACCTTATTCTTCATTTATTAATAAAAAAATATGCAACTTCCTTTTTTTTTTTCAAGTTATTTATTAATCTACAAGAGAATCATGAAACTTAATGTACATCCAAATGTCACACAAATCAACATCATGACTAATCTATCGAATTAAAGGAACCAACTTCAATGGGTTCATATTGAACACTTTAGAGTCATCCTAAATTAGCCGATCATTGTAAAGTCACCAAAATCACAATGAATTTCCACTAAGTTGCCAAAATTACAGCAAACTTTGCTTGCAAATCCGATTACGAGGAATTCATTCAAGGATGCTCTAGCAAAGTCGCCCCAACTCCATTTAAGCTTGTCAAAACTTCCTACCAAAGGAAATCAACAATAAAAACACGTCCAAAGCTAGTTACAAAAAAACAATATTTCAAGGCTACTCATCTAATGCTATCTTTCTCAGTTAAGTCATCCAAGAGTTCCACCTCAAGGTTGATCAGAGAACTATCATATTCAATATATATTTTTTATGTTTTTAGCTACACAATTTAAGTTTTCAAGGATCATCCTTAAGCCCAATCTTTTTTCTTTATTCATGGATGTTCTCACTCGACATTTGCAAGAGGATGTACTCTGGTTTATATTTTTTGTTGATGATATTCTTCTTGTTGATAAGACTAAAGAGGGAGTTGTAGCTAAACTTGAATTATGGAGGTCAACCTTAGAGTCCAAAGGTTTTTGCTTGAGTAGATCTAAAACTGAATATATGAAGTGTAATTTTAGTAGCAATAGACCCAACGAGGGGATTGTGACTTTGGGTGATCAAGTCATTAATAAGAGTATACGTTTTAGATATCTTTGATCTATTATTCATAGTGATGGTGAAATAGATGGGAATATTATCAATAGAATTCAAGTTGGATGGTTAAAGTGGAGGAATGCATCGGGCTTCTTGTGAAATAGAAAAGTCCCCCTCAAACTTAACGGAAAATTTAATAAGATGGTGGTGAAACCTGTAATGCTTTATGGTACCGAATGTTGGCCATTAAAAGAGAAGCATAATGCTAAGTTAAGTGTTACAGAGATGAGGATGCTTAGGTGGATGAGTGGCTTTACCCTTAGAGATATGATACAAAATGAGCATATACGTGAAAAGGTTGAAGTAGCTCTAGTGGAAGATAAGATCAGAGAGAGTCACCTTAGATGGTTTGCTCACATTAAACGGAGGTCTTCCAATGACCCGGTTAGAAAAGTTGAGGTTTTAGATTTTACTTACATTAAGAAAGGTAGAGGTAGACCTAAAAATACTTGGTTAGAAAAAATTAGAAATGATCTTTCTTTATTAGATTTAAATGAGAATTTGACTTTTAACAAGACAATGGCGAAAAATGATTCATGTAGCTGACCCCACGGAGTGGGACAAAGGCTTGATGTTGTTGTAGCAACATAATTTATGCCTTACTCAAAGCAAGAATTAGTTAAATCTTATTTTGTGTAGCAATTCCTATAACGCTGAGAGTTGACCCAAGCCTATAAATAGGGGTTTAAAGAATAAATGTGACACCAAATCTTTAGTACTTGTAATATGTATTTTTGACAATCTAGTGAATTTTCCAGAATTTCTCTTTATAGATTCTCTAAATCAACTAAGGCACCAATAATTGAAAGGTATCCACCACAGTACATGTGGTATTTCCCTAGACCTCCCAAATAGATGGAGAGGGTTCAAATCCCTTGTAAAACTTAAAAAAAAAAAAGTACTACAAACATCCCCCTCTCTTTTTCTCTCTCTCTCTCTCTCTCTATGAGAACTACAGCTTTTCTTTCTAAAATACCCAAAAATTTTAAAAAAAGTAAACAAAATTTAGCATGAAGTTTTCCTCAAAATATACCTAGTTTACTATTCCTCCGTAAAACGTCAAAGTTATTTTTATTAAAGTCTATTTTAATTTCAAGTTTTTTGATATATAGAATCTTACCTAAAATATAAGCCTAAGAATAGATATATTCATTTATACCTATAAGTATATAATTAACAGTTTAATTAACAGCTTTCAATGTAGCCTTTCCACGTAGATAAACATGGAGTGGAATGATTACTGGAGAGGGTAATAAACGGTTAGGATCAACTAATAAGTATTAGGGAATTAAGTTTATGTATTTAATATTTAGTGGAGTGAAATTCCCTCCCGTTGTTTTGTTACTTGGAGTTGAGTGGCTGGCCGCAAGCAGGAGAGCTGGAAAGGGCTGGAGCGGAGACAACCATTGGTTGTGGGGGGAAGATGCCAACAAGGGAGAGTAAAGAGGTAAGGGTTGAAAATAAAATGTTTGAAATTTTGTTGTATGTTGAAATCAGTTCAATAATTTTGAGAGGGAGAAAATATAATATTACTATTATTTGCTTAAATAAAAGTTAGCTGAAATTAGTTTGATTGAAATCAGTTTGTTGTTCGTTAAATTTAAGAAAAAAAAAGAGGTAATGGGCCGCTGCAATTGCTGTTTGTTGAATTCATTAGTGAAATTTATTGCAGTTATTAAAATCAGCTGTTGATCGTTAAATTCAGCTAGAGAACTAAGAGTAAGGAAAGGATTTTTGGTGGTTGTTGCTAGAGCCAGTAAAAAAGTTGAGAGAAAAAAAGCTGTTGGCTGAATTATGATGTGGCTACTTGCTGAATTCAGGAGAGAAATTTTAGGTTGAAAGAGAAGATATTTGGTGGAAGTGATGTACAAAAGGAAAAGAAGACTGAGTTTAGGAAAACCAATTCCTAGCAAGGAGAGATCCAAATTATGGTATATGAAATAGAAAAACTTTATATAATTGTATATGATTTTGATGACATTAATTCCAATTTCATTCTATAGTTGGTTAAATATTCATCAAACAAATATTGCAATAGCATATTTTTATTATGATTGTTATGAAAAGGTTAGATAAGTCATATATGGGGGGTAGACCCGCACAAGTAAAGATGAAAAACCTGACGGAATAAACCTACTCTCGAAATTTTAAAAGTTGGGAATCCATACCCAACCTTGAATGATAGAGCAGCTTCAATTCTAAAAGTTGGTAATGTGGACCTAATCTTGAATTATAAAGTTGTAAATGTGCAAAAGCCAATAGTCATCATAGGACTTGCATAAAAGTGTTGAACTGTGAATATAATAGAAAATGATATTATGTACATCTTATGTCTATTATAGAAATTTCATATATTTTCAATTAATTGCAAACATGTTAATTATTTCTTATACATTTACTTATGTATTTTATTGAGCTCTAGCTCATTAGCAGTAGTTGTACTGCAGAAAAGGAGAATGATCCAGTGAGGCATTAGACAGGGACGGTTGACTTCCCCTTTTGGGTATATATATACATTTTAGGTGTACATAGAGGTCAAAGTAAAAGCTGTACAGATGCTTTTTGGTATGTAAATATTATTTGAAAGTTTAGTAAAATTTTGTATTTTACTTGATGTGTTTGAATATGTTTCTAGTTATGAATTATTGATTCTAGTCTTAACTTTTGAAAAATATGAAATTTTGGAAGAGTTTGGATTGACAATTTCCTATTCACTTGGTCCTGATAAAAGTATTTTATAATGGGAAATAATAAGAGATAGGTCAGTTCAGATTTTCCATCTCTGTTATACTCTAAATTGACTATAGGGGATCAAAATGAGGTGTGACACTTTCGTTGACCAAACTCCTAAGAACCATAATCATAAGAGCACCTTCCTTCCCAGCCTCATCAAAACACGCAAGTCACCAATTCACCACAATTCACCTTGTGCCTCTTCAGCCACCATAAAATGACCTGTATGACTATAAAAAATAGTGGCTCCACTACTTCTACTTGTGCCTCTTCAGCCACCATAGTTCACCTTCCTTGTGCCTTTTCTGCCACCACTATTTTTATTAATTTTTTCAAATAGCTCCAGTGGCCTCAGTCTTCCCAATAGATGGGAACGATTCAAATCCCTTCCAAAAAAAAAAAACTACTTCAAACATCCCTTTCCCTGTGAGAGCCACAGCCTTCTCTTATTAAACGAGCGTCTAAGAGCCATACTCATAAAAGCACCTTTCTCACTGGCCTCACCAAAATACCCAAGCCCTCCATGATTGACAGGTAGCCCACTACAATTCACCTTGTGCCTCTCAGAAGCCATAAAACTAGCTGTGAGAAGCATACACTAAGAGATCATCTTCCTACAGTTTTAAGCGTACACTGACACCAACTTAACAGTATGAAGCTCTTCAATTATTACAATATTCATTTCAATATACAAAAAAAGCCCTTTAGAGATCAAACAATCAATTTAGCATGGCTGCACCTTTACAATTTCTAGCTACTAAGTATAATCATGAATTTATTTACATCAAAACTACCTTGTCAATAACAAGGATATATGCATATGTCACCACCAGCCAACAAATAAAAGAAATCACAATATTAAGACCGAAAAGAAAGTATGTAAAATGAAATACCAGAAGAATTATCAGCCATATCACCAAATGAGGCATATATTTCTTTCTTTATCCTGCCATTTTTCATGATTAAACCTCTCCGGAGTGGAACAGTTTTATGCTTCCTGCACTAATATGATAAATATTCGGGAACAGCATTTATATTGAGAAGGAAAATAAAGAAAAAAGTGATATTATAGTTTAAATGCCTCTACCTGTTTGTCATGGATAAAAACCTCATTTTCTCCCTCAATGTTTCTTTGCATATTGATGATAGAGCTAGACTACATGCTGAACTTGGGCAAGTAACACATGCCGTACAACAAGAAAACCTTGAAGGACTACATGTCAAACCAGAAATGGACATCATGAAGTACATCCAAACAGCACCTATATAGGCAGATAGAGGAATTCAAGAAAGAAAACTAAGACAAATTTTAAAAAGTAATTTAGATTAGAAATGCTTTTAATAATTCTTAATTAAAAAAAGTTATTCTTTTTGTCAAAAGCAAGAGCAAATAAGTAATTACAATATACCTATTTTTGGAAAACAAAAACATTTAATGGTAAGAAAAATAATTTTGGAAACATAGGCCTATAGGTTGGCTGTTGAAAACTACTTTGATGTAGAAATGCTAATCAATTAATTCTCGCCCATAAATAAAATGTACACTATAAAATTATTATAGGGTCAACAACATGGTTGTTTGATTCTTATGAACCAACTGTAAAAGCACAGCCTTAAGGTTCAGAGCGTGAGAATAGAAAAATTTTCAAATGGTCTAGCAGCTTTTTAATGATCCTTGACAAATGAAAAAAAATGGTAAAGCATTAATGAACCGCAAAAGATTAGGGGGACAGGAAATTATTGAAAGTATTAAATAAGAGTGTACCTACTTGCCCTTATACATTGGAAGATTCTATCATTGAAGCAACCCAAAAAAAATGGGCTGCTTATCTTGTTAAAATTTTTAAAATAATTTATATCTTAACTTCAATTGAAGATAAAGATTAATCTTTCAAGTAAGTTTCCATTTAAATTATCAATAAAGTTTTTTATTATAAATAATATTACATTTAACAAAATCTCATTGAAGTCATGCTCATGCGATAGCCTCACTGGAAAGTTAATAGTAGGCATGGTCCTCAATAACAATATCCTATGAGGGAAAGTGGCAGATAAGTTCTCCACTCGCAAACACTAGAAGGCATGCTCAAAAAGTAGCCTCAAAAAGAAACTAGTAATAAATAGGTTTTTCAGTTGAAAGACTCCATAAGAGCAAGTAATTAACAGAGTCTCCATTCATCCAAAAATCTCAAAAAGCTAAATGCCTTAGGAGGTACATGTTTCTTCGATTTTTCAAGAACATAGCCTCAGAAAGTACAAATTTTGCAGTTCTCCAAAAGCCTCAAAAGGCTAAAAGCCCCACAGGCTACAAGTTTCCTCAATTCTTTAAAAATCTTAGAAGCCAAAAAGGCTTATAAAGTACCAGTTTTTAAGTTTTTCAAAAAACCTCATAAGGCTAAAAGCCTCTGAAGGTATAAGTTTCATTGATTATCCATAAGAAAGCTAAAAATCTCACTAAGGCATGGGCTTCTCCTATTCTCCAAAACCCTCAAAAAATTAAAAGTCTCATAAAGTACAAGATTCTTCGATTATACAAAATTTTTAAAAGGTTAATAACCTCTAAAGGAAAACCCTTACTTGGTTCTCCAAAAACATTAAGAGAGTAGAAGCCTTATAAGGTACACAATCTATATTCATATCAAAAAAATATGCTAACTCTTAATATCATAAGGCTTAAGCCTCTAAAGATCCATTATTTTTATTCAGCTAAAATATTTAAAGGTATAAGCTTCAAAAAAAAACCCTTATCAACTAAGGAATCAAGGTCATTATATTCCAACTAGGGACAATATTGTGTTGCTAACTCAAAATTTAACTATGGCATACTAAATTTCTAGCAAGACTTTTAAATTTCAAATATATCTCAAAGACATCTAAAAAACTTGGTCTCCCCTAGAGAGTAAGTCCTCGCAGATCTGAATTGCTCTTATATGAAAATGAAAAGTTCTTTATTTCCAATAAATTGACTGTGAATATTAGCCAAGTTTGTATACTAATGAAAGAATAAGCATACATTCAAAAAGTGGACAAATAAGAACTTTTATTTTAAAAGCTATATAGAACTTCTAGATACATATAGTGCTAGCACACTCTCTATCGCCATCATTAAGTATTTCTTGGAGTCTTCTATAATCTAACTTTTGCCTCGACTTCCAATAGGAAGTCTCTCTCCCCTTTGAGGTCTACTATACTCATGTAGCTTTTGTCTCAGCAATAGGTCATATCAAATTATTCTAATGGCAAAGCCAATGTCGATACATAGCATCACCAATATTGATGTTATATGTCGTTATCAAACTGAAGTTCAAAATTCATCTTTAATAGTAGCTAAAATGAATATACACATCCATATTATATTAGAGTATATATTGAAATAATTCTTTCAAAAATAAAGAAAACAATGTGTTGAATAATTTTAGTATTTCTTAGAGGATTTGATTCAATATCATCTTCGCATCATCACCCCAAGAACATTCTATTGCATCAACCATCATATGTTATATGAGCTGCATAAAATTTTGAAGCATACAAAGGACAAATTAAGATATGATTTTTTATCGCAACTCAACCTATAAGAGATAGTTCGATGTTCTTTACTTCATTTCTCATATATTTGTTCTCTTTCATTTATATCTTCATACAAAATTAGGACGTAAAACTCTTTCTATAAAGCCATGATCTTTTTAGCACACAATAATTTTGTAAAGAAAGTAATTGTTCAGGGCATACCTAGAGTATGTGTTAAGTTTCCTTTAACATAATTTGAAGGTCTCAGGTTTGAGTCACAAAAATATCTTCTCTATAAATCATGGTTTAAAAAATTGTTTGAAGTGCACGCCTTGAATTGAGGAGCACAATGAGAGCCTCAAGGCTTAAGCCTCACTAGTGTCAGTGAGGCTTACGCCTTTTTCAAATGAGGCGTATGCCTCAAGGCATTTTGAGGCAACGTCTTATTCCGGTAAGTTTTATAATTCTTTTATTAAATAATAGTATTAATTATTGCAAATCTGATTTAAGGACTGTGATTTTGATAATAACAAAAATTATTGTGTCTGTTACTGCTTCTCCTATTTATGTGATATTTTATTTTGTTTTTGTGTGTACTAACGTTTCAGAAAATCAGTTCACCGTTCACTTGCAATTTTGATCAGCTCAAGACTGGATAAACTAGGGTTACAGTCGGTTTTCATTTTATTCTGTATTTTTTCCTTTCTTGAGTTGTATCAATTACTTGGGTAGATATCATTGTTGAGCAACCTTGCATACCAACAGGGGAGAGAGAAAAATATTTTTTTGAGAGTTTTTTTTTTTTTAAGTACATAGTACTGTACGATTTTGGTTTCGTACTGTACGACCTTGCTTCGTACTGTACGATTTTAATTCGTAATGTATGATTTTCTCTGCTCTGTCAAAACCCTAACCGTCGAGGTTAAGGAAGATACTAATTATGTGTTGATCGTGCATTACGATTTGGTTCGTATTGTACGCCTTAATTTAAATATTTCTTAATTAACCCCTCTATATCAGGCAATCAAATCATGAAAAATTATTGTGATAGATCGTACTGTAAGATATAGTTCGTACTGTACGATATAGTTCGTACTGTATGATTACCCGTGTATGAAATTGGTCGTCCTAGATATCATACCAACAGAAATTCATTATTTTTGTATTGATCGTATTGTACGATGTCTACAGTCCTGGACGATCGACAGTGCATGAAGTTGGCCGTCCCAAAGATCATCCCAAACGAATAGAAGGAATTTCTACAGTTCATACCGTACGATGTTTTGATCGTACTGTACGAAATGCTATAAAGGTTGAACAGTTGATCTGAACGATCTTGCTGGACGAGTCTTAATTACACTGATTATATTGTACGATATGTTTATCGTATTGTACAAATAGAAGAATGATCTCTTGAAAATTAGGGTTTCTTGAAGCCTACTACTTAAGGTTTTCTAATACTCCTAATATAAGATCTTTTTGGTTTTTGAGACTTCAGGAGAGAGCCATGAGGGAGAAAAGGAGAACTTTGCGAGGAAGAGAGAGATTTTGTAAGGAAAAAGTTGTGAGGGGATTCACAAGGTTGCTCCAAGCAAGAATTTTGCCTAGTATCTACAAGCATCTGCCTGTATTCTCTATGGCTCTGGAGAAGAGGTTTTTTAGCAAAGACCGTGGTTCTCTGACCATCACCAGGAGGGTGAAAATAGAGTTGTGGTTCTCAAACTATTACCAAAATGGAGAAAATAGAGTTAAGTTTCTCTGCCTGTAAAAGAGTCATGACTCTCTGTCGCACAGGGGAGGTGAAACAACGTCTGTACAGGCTTCTCTACCTTGCTGTGGGAGCAAAAGGAGAGTCAGTACTGTTTAGTGCAATACTTTGAGAGGAAGTCTCCAAGGAGTGGACATACGTCAAGTTGATCGAACCATTATAAATTCTAGTGTGCTCATTCTGATAATTTTCTAGACTTTATTTTTTGCAATTATATGTGTGGTTGAAAAATCTGTGTTATTTCGTTGTTGTGAAATTTACTTTTTTCGTATATATTGTATCTATTATCGTATATAGGTTTGAAAAGTTTTAAAGAAGTTTTTTTTCACTAAAGAATTTTTAAAATAACCAATTCACCTCCAGTATTGGGCTAATTCTTTAAGGTTTCACAACCCTCACAAACTTTCAAGTGGTATCAGAGCGGAATTCAAAAACAAAGTTTTAAAAATTTTTGAAAAGCAATCAATGGCTAACTTTGGAAATAGTAATGCTGCGGAAGGATATTCAATCACACGATCACCTCTATTTGATAATATTTCTTTTAATCTTTTGAAAATTCGCATGTCTACTTTCTTGCAATCAATTGATTATCGCATGTGGATATTAGTTCAAGAATGATATTCTGCATCTTCACGTTTAGTAAACGGCATTAAAATTGAAATACCTTTTTCTGAATGGAGTACTGATGGTAGAGATTTAGCCCAACTGAATGCTAAATGTAAAAATTGTTTCTTTTACACTTTGAAATCTGAAGATTATATGCGTGTATCTACTTGTACTACAAGTAAAGAAATTTGGGATAGATTATGTATTACTTACGAAGGAACAAGTCAAGTGAAATAATCTAGGTTAAATTTTTTGCTCCATGAATATGAACTCTTTTGCATGAAACCTAGTGAATCTATATCTGAAATGTATACTATGTTTACACAAATCATCTTATCCCTGCATGTTTTAGGTAAAGAATTATCAAATTCTGAAAAAGTA